GCTTCTCTTACTGGGCGTCTGAGGGTCACATCGTCCACACCAGAGACATTTAATTTAACACATGGAACTAAAAGACTGAGGTGGAGAGGAATCAGGAATGATAAAGGACCTATTTGTTCTGGAATAAACACTCCGATGGAACGGACCCTTTTTCTGAACTGCGTTTAAATAGGATCCATCCACTGGACTACTGGACCCTGTTGTGTATAAACATGCGCACCTGCAGACCTCTACATGCGCTCAATGTAAGAGCTCTGTATCAAATAACTGTGTACAACGTTAAACAAGAAAGTTTGGAGTGCGTAGAACCAGCACAATTGTGTGAGAAAATTAAAGTGCAGGATCACTGCTAAACCTGTGTGGAGCTGTTTTAAAACCGCCTTTAAAATTAAGAACTCGGCAGTAGCATCTGCATGTGGAGAATCCTGCAGGACGACGCCTGGCTTAACAGCTTGCTCTCTAAGACAACCCCACAGTTGTCTTCTTAAATGTCCTTTCTGTCAGGAACAGAGGGGAAATGTTTTCACCTGTGTCCAAAATAAATATTGGTACCAAAAGACTTCTAAGTCTCTGTTTGTAAGACTCTGAAAACCTGCTTTTTAAACTGTTCGGTGAGAAGTTTGTGTCTGAAACTGCTTTTATTTTTGGGTGCTGGCTATCGAAAAAAGAAAAGCAAAAAAATGGCAACTGATTTTAATGCTTCTTGTAGTGACAGGCCAAACTGTCCATTTTATAAAAGGCAGGAAAAGCAAAGTAAATGGTGTTTCATGGTGGGAGCTGCTGTCTGTTTAAGTCAGCTGTAGTTTGAAAGCCAGAATCACAGCAGACTTCAGGTTTTACGTTACTCATGAATAATGTTGATGAGTGTTGTCTTCTCAGTGCGTGTCTTCACTCAGCTCTCTGTTCTGTGTTGAAGGGAGAAGCCTGATTTTCTAACCTCTGGGTTTTTATCGATGGTTTTTTTATCAACCATTGTTGTTGTGTTTATTGATACATCCTGAGGATTATTTCTGTTAAACAGTTCTATTTATTAGAAAATAAATGTGTTTTCTAAAAACAAATCTCTCTCTCTCCTCTCTCTTCTCTCTCTCCTCTCTCTCTCTCTCTCTCTCTCTCTCTCTCTCTCTCTCTCTCTCTTCTTCTCTCCTCTCTCTCCTCTCCTTCTTCTCTCTCTCTCTCTCTTCTCTCTCTCTCTCTCTCTCCCTCTCTCTCTCTCTCTTCTCATACATTACTGTGTAACACCATGTACATTTTTTTTGTTCAATAGTTAGACATAGGCCCTTTTGTTTAACTGCTAACATAGCAGCCATAACAAAAGGTAACTCTCCACAAAGGATAAGAAATAATTCAGCTTTGCCTAGATTATAGAATAGCTACTCAGTTCATAGTTTTCATTTTTGAAAGAAAAAAAACTATCAAGTTGATAGGAAACAGAGACAAAGGACCCCTCTCCCACAAACAGTCCATGCTTTTAGCATGCCAGAGAGACACAGAACCAGACCAAAGGTCAAACATAGGCAAAATTTCCAGTTTGTAACAATAAGATTTTGTCTAATGATATTCGATTGTTTCTTATATAGGACAAGTAACAACAAAAGGTCTGATTATCACTAAGGTGTGAATCCTGGTCTCTCTGAAAACACACGCACACACACACACGTTCCAACCTCCCTTCCTTTGTCCCTCTCTAGATAAGAGTCATAAACTATACAACCCACATTCCAGTCCTGGGTAGTGACATACTGTCAGCATCCTTCACACGAGGTAACACACACTACATGACATCCAGCATGTCCATATTATTATTGTTACAGTCAAAGAACTGCTGTGTAATCCATATTTATAGACTATTATCTTAAGGAAATGTGTATATTGTTGTTTGATCGGTTAGCCACTTGTATTATGATTAATTCCAGGTTTGAAGGATGTAATATGAAATCAACACTCGTATTACTCCCATCTGTCATTATTAGTGCCATTAGGTTTATATGTTATTTCATTTAATGTTTTGTGGTCATGGTGGAAGATGGATGTGTGAGTTTATAAGTAAACTCTAGAATTAAATTATTCAAAAGTTCTGTGGAAAATGACTCTTCTCAAAGTGGAAACACAGGAGAAGACGGGTGACGCCCCCTGAAACATGCGCCAGCCCCCAGGGGATAAAACAGTCGTGATCAATTCAAACATTGCTAGAAACTGGGAGAAGCCAAAAAGCTAAGATGCTAAGAAGCGAGATGCCGGAGAAACGAAGCTAAAAGCTAGAGGCTGAAAAGCTGAAGCTAGAAGAACGATGCAGAAAACTAGAAGCCGAGAACTTTGCTCAAAGCTCAGAGTCCCGGTGTATTATTTTCTCATCATTTTTATATAGTCAGGTTATTTTCTTGTATGTTCATTTGGTATTTTTAATAATTTTGTGATATTTCAACATTACTTAGGTGGGGCTTTAAATGAGCCATTTGGACTCTTGCTTCTCCCTGCACTGTATGCTATTTGTTTTCTTTGTCATTTTCTGTGCAAGAAAAAACACCTATCCATACAATGCATTACAGTTTCTCATTTTCATTGTCTTCACACATTAAATCACATTTTCTCCACTACATTATGAGAAGAAGGGAGAGTCTAGTTACAGTTGCAACATTTACAGGCAGTGGGCCAAGTCAACCTGTCAAACCAGATACCTGGATTAATTATAGGCTTTATGGTTTTTGTACTAGAAGATGGGTGCAGGAGCAGTATCTCTTACTCAATGTGTAATAGACAAAATAGGCCAGAATGACAGAGGACATGATCTTTTGATATCAGGAAGCATAGCTAAAATTTTTATTGCCTCTGAAAACATTGCATTACATTTCAGTATGTTTTCATTCAAGTTTTCAGAGCAAACTACACGGCTGCTCCTGAGGGATAATTCTAGACAGCGGGTTTAGGGAAAACTGAGTTTCTTAACCCTGAGATGACTCTGGGTTTTCTGCTCCAGAAACGGAGATGAGTCTGTTACCATGGTAACTGAGTCTGTGAAGCTGACCTGCTTGCTGAGGACGAAGACAGAGACCTCTGACATTCAAATGTCACACATGGAGGCTTCATCCTCAGCTCAGATTTAAATCTGCACTGTCCGTCTCTAGAACACTGAGACTATGAGGACACCTGTCATATGGTCAGTCAGTTCCTCTGCACTGAAACCTTTACTGTAAATTGAGCACTGCAAATTGAAAAAAAAAATCTAAAGCTTAAGACACAGACAGATCTATGAGGAATCATTTCTCATGTTCTGATTGGTCACATTTTTGAGTGAGGATGACAGCAGTGCAGCTGAAAATACTTTAGCATTTAAAAACTGGACTAAATGTAGTTTAAAAGTGAGGATTTGAATACATGCCGCAGATAGTCAAACTATTTTAACAGCATTGCAGTTACTGTACATTCATCTTTCTGGAACCACTGGATTAAAATGGAAGCTCGGCTCTTTATTTACCCGTTGCCAAAGTGAATCGTTGACTAAGAGGTCCATTGATGATGGCTTTTTATATTCTTCATGCACGTGGTTAACTCAGAGTTGATTGAACTAACTCAGATCTGCTGTTCAGGAACTGAAAACAGAGTTTCTCATCTCAGGGCTCATTAACTCAGCTTTCTGGAACAGACCCCTGCTCTTGGTTCCGTTTCAGACTTTACAAAATCTAGCCCTTGAGTTTGGTCAATCACATCATATTCTGAATGTGTTGTAGCAGTTGGTTGTGTAGGTAGATTTACCATGGAAGCAGGTAAGGGGCTACGTTGAATGTTGCTAATAGTTTAGCCTCCTGCTAACCATAGCCAAAGGTTGTGGCTGTGATTTTGTGTGTGTGTGTGTGTGTGTGTGTGTGTGTGTGTGTACGTAACATGTTTTTTTCTCGGATTCTTTCCTACAAGAGTTTAAATATTTAGATTTGACATTCAACAAGTAAATGACAAAAGTTCCACAAAAATTGCAGTAAATGTGGTGGAAAAAAAAGTTTTTTTTCACACCACCTTTTTGTAACATTGTTTGGAGCTGAATGTGGTGAAATGTTCAGCTTTGATTTACAACCAATGCCCCAGAGCTACAGTTTAATACAATGCAAACTGAGACTGTGAATATTGCCAACCCCTACTTTGTAGAATTCCAATCCTTCAATTTACTGTTGATATGGTAATTTAAGGTAATTATTAATCAGAGTTCCAGATTCAAAATTTATGATAGCCAATAAATTGATAGAAAACTGAAGGTCCAAAATTTATGGTGTCCAGCTCATGAAGCAGAGCTCAGACCCAAGAACAGAAAAGGTCATCTGGTCACAATCGCAATATAGTTCATTTCTAATACACATGGTTTCGTAAAAACCTGCAGTGTATTTAACTTATGACTGTTTGCAGCTTTTGTCTCGTTGATTCTAACAGCCTACATTTATAAAATACATGTGAAGATGGCGGCAGATAAGGGATAATAACGTCCTGGACCAGCCTCCATCCAGAACATAAATCCCAACTGAGAGATCATTCTGTGACATTTCCGTTTTTACATACACGTACTTTGCATGTGAAGCAGGTTGCAGCTCGAATTGCAAATGAGGAGTACTTTAAGGAAATGCTATTATGCATTGAGTATGGCAGCACCAGCTGTGTACAGTCCATTGCAAACAAATATGAAGTCAGCGCTAAGCAGACTGTGCCCTTTCAATATAAACAGCAAGGAAAAAACTTCTGAATGGATTATGATGATTCAAGACAATTAAGTAGTCACACTGGTACAAACAGGGAAAAAACGGCAGCATATTGAGTAATTTACTCACTGGCAGACTCACTGGCTCTAAGAAAACCTGTGTCCATATTTGACATCCAAAAATTAAATATATCAGTTTTAATAGAATATAAACGCAACATGTAGGTCTTCTTAACAGGTGCGGCAACTGGAAAACATTTGACCATATTATGCATTTATTTATGACCCACACCTAAAAAGTTTAGAACAGAAAGCCTACCTTTGTGGACCGGCTGTGGAGCGGGTCTGACATCGCGCTGTTGTGGTGAAAAGTTCGAGTCAAATACAAACCGAAGGCAGAAAAATCCCATCAACAGTCCAGTGGTGAAGATTAAATTAGACGGGATGCGCCTCATCCTCCCGATTTACCTGTGGGACAGTGTGGGATTAAACAGTTAGTTATTAAATAACTAACTACACGGTTTACCTGTGTTAAACTCTCCAGTCAATTGAATTTAAATCAGCTGTCTGAAGATAAACTGATACCATTAAAATAAAACCTTAAATGCTTCAAGAACTGTGAATGAGCGATGGAAATAATCATTTCAATCACTAATTATTTATCAGTAATTAAATTTTTTTACCAGCTGAGCCCAAAGCCGGAGGTTGTTTAGGAACAAAGGCAGACTTCACAGGATCACTACTCCCTCCCTCACAGGTGTTCCCAGTAAAACTGATTTGATCTCTGCAGTCTCAGCCCGGCTGGAGCTGGAATAAACGCATCCCGTCACGTCATCAAAAAGAATGATCACCACCCACTGGAAAATCTTACAAACACCTGCCAACAGGTAACTGCTTCACACATGGAACTGATTCAGCAGCATTATACCTTATAAAGGCCATGCAAAATAATGTTACTTGATAAGTTAGAGCACAATGACATCCCTACAATTATATCATAATTAATTAATTAAATTTACAACTTTACAAAGTGATTTACAGACATAAGAACAGATTAAAACCAATGGCAAATTTTATACTGCACATAAAACACATTATAGAGAAATGTATATTGAGATATTTATTATAGATATAATATATAATGACAAGACAATTTGTAAAAATATGTGAAAATTACACATTAATCACTTTATTTCTCACCCATGATGCTTTGCATGACATGATAAACAATCTGAAAGGTTGTTGGTCCAGCATCCCTCAGCTAATGCTAAGCTAACTTTGCTATCAACAACTACACTAGCTCTCTCCAAAAGTAACAAAATCCACCAGCAACAGGCAGACATGCCCCCCTCCTCCTTCCTGAGGATTGCCCCCCTCAATTTATCATTGTAAATCCATACACTGGTTCCAACCAAATAACTGTCTGAAATATAGCAGTTTATTTTGTTTGATGGATGCAAAAAGTCAACAATTTTTACAAGCTGCACCTTAGTACACATAACTGTGTCATGTGTGTGAACAAAGTCCAAATGAGATTGGTGCTTTCCAGCAGCATGAGACCAGTTCAGACAATATATGGCTCACATAATTGTAAAACAAGACAATGATTATCTAGTCCCTCAGTCAAGCTTTAGTTACAACCCTGGATTAATGCAAGATGGATTGGCATTGACTATTGGTTAAATATTGAGTTTAAAATGTTGATTAGCTGGGCACACTGAGCAAAAGGGATGCACATCTCTCAGTAAATAATAATCATGTGTTCAGCCAGTTCCCTCTGAGCTTCAAAACCGCTCTTCAGAAACCTGTGGGTGACAAAATGGAGCCTACGTCCATCTTTATTTACAGATTATGGTCGAAATCTTATTGTCAGACAATTATAAACAGTATTCACTGCAGACTCACATTGTAGGTGCTCTGTATTCCTTGTCCTGCAGTCTGTTTCTGAATGCATTTCTGAGGCAGGCTTTTCCACGTTGGGACAGTGATTTGGAGGAGGCTTCTGTTTAAGGTTCTTCACACTGGAAGGAAGCAAGTGTGGACTGATGTCCCTAATATCTTATCAATAACTGATGTAAGGAACTTGTACAGATGTAGCTTTACAGTTTAAAATGTAAAGCATGCATGATAAACTGATTTTGTGTGTGCAGACTTCCAATTGTAGGAATAAAGAATGTAATGCTAAGCAGAAAGGTTTTGGTTTGTCTGTTTGGTGTCTTCATCTGACATTAAAGGTGGTAATGACTAATAATTATAATTATTATTATGTTTATGAAAATAATGTAGTCTATATCTATAAATTCCACAAAATGTTTTTCTATTATGATTATTATTAATATAATGATATTATTGTATAATAATCACTTTCCTGCCCTAGAAACTGGGAGCAATGTTCATGCTGAAGAAAACTACTGTTGTACCTGACACTGACATTCACATATAAAGAAGTTTGGCAAACTACCTGATAAGATCAATGAAATACAAGCTGATACTTCAACAGAGCAACCTTCCTTTTTGAGAATCTTTTAGTAGTCCTTTTTTTGTATTTTTTTCACCCAGATGGACATTCAGTCATCTTGCCTTAAACCTTCCAGCTAGACCCTCTCTCTTTCTCCCTTTCAGTATCCCCTCTTGTCTGTGTGTCGGTGATATCATAGCTCACCTGAGAGCCCGAAGCTCACCTGTTTGTGTGTCTGTGTTGCTCAGGCTTCTGCTGCCAGGATTTCCAGAACAATATGATGTCTAACATTAACAAACAAATCAGTTGGACAAGCTGTGGCTAATTTACCTCATGAATAATAGAACTGTGCTCTTGATCAACTCATGGAAAAAGGGGAGGCAGGTTGTACATAGGCATTAAATAGTAAATATTATGATTTGTAATTTCAAAGAGGACCAGCATCTGGATTGATTACAGAATATTCTTATTTGCTGAGCTCATCTGTTACTTAAACTTTGTACTTCTTTTAAAAGGACGTGATGTCTCACTTCGCTTTTGGAAGCACATTCACTTCACAAATTATAGAACACTTAACCAATGAAATGTAAATATAATATAAACGAATGGTCAACATTTATCCATTTCGGATTATACACTCACTGTAATGTGCCAGTATGCATTGAACGTGTAGATTGCTCTGTAATGTTGAGTCTATGATGAACGAAGGGGACTATTTTCATCGTAGATACTTATTTAACTACTCTGATGAAAATGCAGAGAATGTAGTTTTTTTTCTGCCGCGCTACTGCTCCAGTGGGTGGCGGTCATGCGGTTCTTAGTGCGTTTGTCATAGAAGAAAGAGAAGGTTAACTTCCGGAATAAACAAGGACATGTGTTGAATAACTATCATTGAGGATATTCTGTCCTTAGCTTCACACACCGTAATGCCTGTCGCTGTTTTTGAGCAATAGGACACCAGTCATCAGTTTTAAACGTACACTGTTTGAAACTAGAGTTACTACGTAATGGCGGCCTCGGCTCACGTCTCCACGGTCCGCTCGTTGTACAAGAGGATTCTGGTCCTGCACCGGTTCCTCCCTATAGATCTAAGAGCCCTCGGTGACCAGTATGTGAAGGACGAGTTCAGAAGACACAAGAGTGCATCATCCGAGGAGGTGAAGAGCTTCATGACGGAGTGGCAGGTAAACTAGAAAAAATCTCTATATTTAAAATATTCATGAATGCACCAACACCTGTCGCTACTTTCAATTTAGAAAGTAGAAAGTTCAGCTTCATTAGTTTAATCAAAGTGCGGGTATGGATTAACTCAAGTGGTATTTTGTGGATTTATATTTAACACACGTTTCTGTCAATAGTTTAAATATATAAACAGCGTTGCGTAAGTTACTGTAAAAGCAGAGCTTTGCAATCTACCAATTACTTTACACTGGAAGAAGAAAAAAAGGATCAAATTGAAAATAAGAAAAATAAAAAATAGTGCCAACTTGTTCAATGGCCATAACATAAACCCAAAAAGTAAAATACTGTCAGCTTTGGTTTTGTAAACAATAACTGCTTCAGTGTGTCCATGGTGATTCTTCCTCAGGCTGAGATTCTGGAGGTGAATCCATAATGACTTTATGTGAGTTTTGCACATGCACAACACAAAGGTCAAGTGTGTGGTGGTGACTGCCTGACAAATACATTGGCTGACCATATCTGCACAGTGGTCAGGATGAAAGACAGAAGCAATGGTAAAATAAAATAATAAATATTGCCTTTTCTTGGATAGTATTACACTGATTACAGAAAAATGGTTGGTTGGAAATTATTAAAATGTTACTGACTTGTGTTTCCAGCTAAAGTCTACTTGAGTCAGGAGTAAAATGTAGGTGGAGAGACACTAAACCACTTTATTTATTTGGCCTAAACATAGTCATTATTTAAACAGTGGAGTTGTTCAGTCACTATGTCTGATTCTGAATCATGTGCTAAAACATTTTGTTCCTACAGTAATGACTGCTGCATCAACAGTGTGTGATCTCATTAAACACACAGTGGGAATCAGTCTTATATCTATGAGCCTCAGGTGATGGAACTGAACGACATTTCTTCACTTCAGGTCCCTGAATATCAGAAGCGAATGGTGCTTGTCAGTTTAACAGCCGCTAAGAGGAGGATCGCTGTACAGTGGAAGCTCCCACACACTCTGGCGATCAGACAATGGGTTCTGACTTTTCTTGATGTTATCAAAGATCCTCTATACAGAAGATACCGCATTACAGGCAGCACCAGTGGTATGAAATGGGAAACAGTTCCGGTCTCCGAAGTGGGCGTTGTCTCTTAACCCCTCCCTCAAGCGAATGCAACTGGCATGAAATGTGACAGTTGCTAATATTAAAATCTCTCCCTGTCTAGACTTACCTCTCTGCATCCTTTGGGAAAAGAAAAGACAGATCTGTTTTTCTTGTTATTACAGCCTTTTGCTGCACAAAGCTCGGGCATTTCTAACTCTAACTGATGGATTACTTATCCCTGCCACAAGAATACAGCAGTAGACGATACAACACGGACAAATTTGGGCCTTTTTTGCCGTTGTTTTTTATCTACTAACGACATCTGATCAGCCCAGTACGAAGTCATGTCAATTTAATAGGCTAATTATCTGTTTTAGCAGTTGTTAAGCAATGAAAACAAGTTTTATTTAAGTTCTAAAGTTTAATCCATGGTTTCACGCATAAGTAAGTCAATCCAAAAATAACTGGTCCATCTAAACATCTCGTTATCGGTTGGCAAATGATGTCGGCAGTTGACAGATCTCGCGAGAGTATGGCACTGAGACAGAGGCAGGTCTCCAATAAAGTTAATTTTCTCCTGATCTGTTGATCTGAAAAATGTCATTTTGATGTCAGAATGTTCTGAAGACGTGTGACTTGTGAAAACTGGGTCCAATACTTATTTTGGCGACTATGGAGCGAAAGAATCTGTGACAGTCTGTGATCTCCTTCACTTCGCCCATTGGAATGAATACACTCAGACCTGCTGCTGGTCTCCTAAAGGGGCGGGGAGGTGGAGAAACCCATGTGACACAGATACAGGAAATAAGCGGAAATGAAGCGTCTCGGTTTTTCTACTGTCTCTGACGTTATTTACAGTTTTAAATAAATGAACGTCAGCTTTAATACTCTCCTAAAGACTTTGTACTCTCGCCTTGACTCCTCTCTCGCGCTCTGATCCTCTCCTCCACCGGCACCTTGCACTTGTGGCTGAAAACCAGGCCTACTGTCAGTCCTGACACATTAACCGTATCTCGTCAGTAACATGAATTAACTTTTTTCTCCATATTGAAGAACTAAAGATGTCTGTTCTCTGCACTGTTTCACCTGTCCTCGTGATTCTCCTCCTCGTGAACTCTCTTTTTAAAATAATCTGTGATTTGAGACATTTCTGAAAAAAGAAAAACATACACGATTGGATGTTAATTTAGGGAAACTTTTCAAGAAGCTGGGTGTGCTTGGATGTAAACGAGATAATATTCATCTGTAGGGTTGCTTCCTTTTATGTGAAAGAAGGTGGCAACTGGTTTGGTTTTATTTGACATTACATTATTCACAGTACTTTGAGGACATAACATGAACAACAATGTGGGACAAAGTGTGTCCCGTATTGATTTAAATCCAACAAGTACCAAGAAAACAAGTACTAGAATTTTGCCAGGAGGCGGAGGCGTCACGTATTGATTCAATACAGGACGCAGCATTTTATTTTCAAATACAGGACGATCCCGTATTATACGGGACGGGTGGCGACCCTATTCACCTGTTTGAAGAGCTGCAAAACCAGGTTGCGTTAGTATTCTTTTTCTTTGGCAATTTCGGATGGCTCTGCGTGATGCACGGATTACGATACAGTGCCACTACACTGCCGTAGTGGCGTACAGCTGCAATTGCAGTTACAAACGTCAAATCCACCTAGTACCGAGAAAGCAAGTACCGCCCATTAAATTTGACAGAGGCGGCCGCTTCCCAATTCTCTATGCAGGAAAAACCTGGTATGTACAATAGATATAAAAAATATGTTGAACTAGAAAATTCCTGGTGAAATTTTTAACGTGCTTGCGTCTTGGTGCACAAGCTGCTAGGTGCATATCAATCAGCTGTCAGATGCTGTTGGGTGTTTGTGTAATTGCATGTGAGGGAGCACTGCATCGTAGCCAGAGGCTGGATGTGACGGTGGCATTCACCTCGTAGTACCTGAAGCATTGCCAGTGATACTGCTGTATGTTTTTGTGTGTGTGTTGGTAGAAACTAGTTAACCTTTCTACCACAGAGCCTCCAGTAAGCTCTTCTTACCTGTCTGAGACTCTTGGTGGTGAATCCACATGGTGGAGATGAAACTTTGCATAGAAAATTGGATCAAAGGGAGAAAACTACAAGTGAAATTGGAAAGCTTTCTTCGCTACTGGTGTCCCAAGACATCAGTAGATTTTTGTTTCTTTCTGAGACAATTTTCAGGGATGGCAACTCTAAACAGTCCGTGCACTACACACCCATTATAAAATCTGAAACGATCTAGAAATGACATGAAATGTGAACTGTGATTTTGTAAAAAGTGTAATAGGTATTAAAATAACAGTTTAATCCAAAAAAGTTTTAAGTCTCTTGACCAGTTTAAAGTTCCAACCATGTTTTCATGTTTAAGTACGACGAAGCAGCGTGGGTCCAAAGAGGAGTGGGTTTGGCCGTTTTCACTGCATCGCTTCATTCATTTTCTATATTTAATTTTTCACTGTTTATTGCCATTTACATCGCCATGGTTACTCAAATCACTAAGAAAGTCATGGCACACCATTCCAGATTGAACACATGTTTTGATAGATAATTTGTCAGGGTTTTCTCAAAGCTGAGGGACGAGTTACGTGCCGAAATTTTATGGTCGAGGAATAAGACGTATGGCAGATTATAGTAATAATTGCTGTACAACCTGACAGCAGCAGCCTGTTGCTGAAGGAGCTGCTCAGTGCTGTCAGTCCTGCATGGGGTGGGAGATGTTCTCCAACAAGAATGATAGCTTAGCCATCATCCTGCTGTCGCCCAATATCTCCACTGGGTGGAGCGGTCATCCCAGAACAGAGCTGGCCTTCTTGATCAGCCTGTTCGGCCTTTTAATATCAGCAGTGGAGATACTGCTGCAGAAGACCACAGCATAGAAAAAGAAAACATTTGACCCACATCAAATCAATCATCCTTGCACATCCAATAGTGCTACAGTAACTTTTCCCAGGTCATGGGGAGGTTTTTTTTATTATAATTATAATCTTATTTGGCTTGGTTTAGTTTTGTGGGTGGGGTACTAATGATGGTACAGTATGTACATCATCGTGTCTATGTTTTGTGTTTGTTAAATGTGTTGAATTTGTTAAAGTGGAAGATAAGAAATTTTATAGGTGTCTCACCTTGTTATAAAACACTAAACACTGCACTAAACACAGCTTTTCCTGTCATCAGTAATGTTATCTTTGAGTGTAACATCAGTCCAGTGTAATATCAGTCCAACACCACATGATGGCGGAGCAGCCTTAGAAAACAGCAAGGTTAACATTAAGAGTCTGATAGAGGTAGATGTCCATAAATTTAACTAATAGTTAGAATTGTGTTGTACTGTAAAAGGTCACTGTGTAAATGTTGTAACTGCTGTTATAATAGTTATTGTTAGGCCAGCAGTAGTGTAGAGGTTTTAACCCGGAGGTAGAGGTATTTGTTGTCTTCAGAAACTTTCCGACATTTTGACCCTGGGGTAAAGGTGAGTCACATATCTCCAATTCAACTGTTAACAAGACCTGATATTAGTCCAAGCCCCACCTGTCCTGGTATGGAGGTATTTTGAAATGGTCAGAAGGGTTGAGCCAACTGCTGATTCTGCCGCACAGATATGATCATCTTTGGCCAGCAGGTGGCGCTTTTTCAAAATTAATATTATGCTTAATATTTAGTCAATTCTTTGTTAATTATAAATGGTAATAAATAAATACCTGGTATACAAAGATCTAATATTGATCCATGACTTATTAACGTGGTACAGTGTTATCAAGATGTTGATGTTGCGTTTTCTCTTTTCAGTGTTCTCCTTGACATTGTTTAAAAGCCATTGGAAATTCTTCAGACCATCACATGACTCTAACACTGTACATACAATAGGTAAA